TTAGGGTGTCTGGATGATACGTTCATTGTGGTGTCGACATTCCACTTCAATCATCGGCCAATGCCTATGAAGACCAATCCAACATAAAACCAGTTTAACATCATCGCTCGGATTTATTGGGTATCAAAAAACCCAACATTGAAGCTAGTAGTTATCACAGAGTTGGACAATAAAACCCTGTCTGTCCATTTGCATTGGATTGGCGCTTGACAAGTATTTTTCACTGTCCTATAATTTGAGTAGGCTTTCATTCTTGTGCAGTCTTTGACTAATATAAATGGGCTTTTGAGAGGATTCTTTAATCAACAAAAACAATGAGTAGCATTATTATCCTATAATTCGAGTAGGCTTTCATTCTTGTGCAGTCTTTGACTAATATAAACGGGCTTTTGAGAGGATTCTTTAATCAACAAAAACAATGAATAGCATTATTATGAAGTAGTGGTGGTCAGGATATACCTGCAGCATGGGCGACATACTGATGGGTCTAGAATACTCCGAGCCTTCCCCTAAACTTTTTCACATCTTCCCTTTTGTGTAATGATCTCTTCAAGTGAGTGCATGACCACCCATTTCACATGGTCTTACCTCGTATATGTCACCCTATCACAAACACCAAATGTATTTGTACTAATTTTTTCTTTTCATAGCACCCAAATTTTTTGGTGATAAAAGGAATATGATAATTGTATGCATGCTCGCATCTGACAGTCTATAGACAATTCATCTGGTAAACGCAATTATTAGCAACGGGAATTGATTGCTAAAGAGAACTGGTGGTTCTAAATTTCGGATGAATACACCGGGGGATTTCTTTTGCATTAATGTAAGATGTGGTCTATCTATTATGACAATTTTCTACATTTCTTTTCTTGACTTTGTTTTTAGAACAACGCAATCCACACAATAACTGTTTTCAACTGCAGTTTGTTAATACCAAAGAGCAATTTTTCATTTGTGCCTTGGAGTCCCAGGTCCTGGGACCCTATCCACCTTATAAGAAGATTGTAGCAGGAGTGCCAAGTTGTAGAGTGAGTAATAACCTAATTATAAAAAGGAGATATGTTCTATACATATTATAGCTGTACAAACAGGAAGTTTTGACACTAAGTTAGAAAAGATTGGAGCTTTCACGTGAGCTGCACTGCATAAGAGTCAATAATTCTTTCAGAAAAGTTTCACTAGCTTCCTGGAACGTCCACTTCTCTCATTTTTACTAAAAGCTTCAGAAGTGATTCAGAGAAATATGTTTTTAATATATATCTTAACATTACGGAGACTAATGGCTTAAGTAGCCAAAGTATATTTCTAATCTAGGAAAGCTACAATTTACTCAATTATATAATCAATCTACACGAGTGATTCTAGTGGGAGAGAATCATGGAATTATGGTAGTCCACCAACTTGGAGAAAATCATGGAATTGCAACA